TTCTGGAAGGGCGAAAACATTGGCTGTTATGCATAACTGCCGTTGGATTGGCGCATGTCTGGGACTTGAAAATGCAAGCTTCACCGCATCCTCCAGTGTCACTTGGACCAATCCTCGATGTGGCCACCACGTCGTTGAATCAGCACACCGCGAGCCCTGGGCCGGGGGTCACCTCTGCTCATTTGAACACAAACGGATACATTGTCGTGACACTTACGAACGGTGATGGATTCTACTATGCTCGGGAAATGTACACCTGGCAGCGGCTGAGCGAAGCCTGGTGGGCAGTTGGGTCTCAGTACTGGAACTCGAATGATTCTTCAATAACCGCATTACAATCAACAGCTGTTGGGTCTACTTCCGCGGAGAGTGGAGACGAGAGCACGGCTGCTACCGTCTCTTCTGGTATTATACCATTCCTGGAGCGTCACACGACGAACGAGTTTCTCCTCAAGGGTCGTGCGTATGCTCTGCAGCGCATGATCAAGACTGTCATGCAGCGGAAAGAAAGTGAAGATTTGGAAAGCACCATCAGCATTGCCCATCTGGAAAATCGTATTGCTGGCGCATTGCAACTCGGAGCCAAAGAAGAATTTCGCCTGTATCTGTTCATGTATGCCAAGCGCCTGGGAGCAGAGGGGACCCGGCCCAAGGTTGAGGAGCTTCTTAATAGTCTAATGGGAGGTATTCTGCGGGAAAAGCACGACGAAAAGCAGCAAGGCAAGGGATGGTACGGCCTCGATGACGAGATTTGTGGTTGGAATCGCAAGGAACTTATCAGGGGGGTCGTTTTGATTCTTGGTAAGTTGGGCTTGTCCCATCAGTTGTGAGTATTATGTGCTGTGTCTAACAAGATCCATAGGCAAATATCGCGAGTTGCAACGGTTGACATCACAGTACGCACGGGTCCTTGACCTTAGCCTGGAAGGCGGCGCCGTGGACGTTGACAACATGGACGTAGAGGCTTAGCCGGCCCTTGGATCTTTGGAGCGTTGATCAACTGTAGAATGACGGCACGGTGGGCCGTGCTTTTGTAAACTTACTTTTTTGAACCGGCACCGGATGCGACTGGGATTGTATTTTTGGTTGTTTTGAAGATTTGGGAAGCAAAGATTACCCACGTTCTGGCGTTTGGAGGACAGGGCTGAGTGACTGGACCTGCAGGCGACGGACAGACTAGTGTCTACATGAGATGAATACATTATTCATCGCTATTTTATCGGTGCCTGCCGATCTTTTGCCTGTGATCGGAATTCTTACTCGAATTCTCTAATATCATCAGCAGTCGCGGCGTAGTTGACGGCAGCACGGGCTCAGGTGTCACAAAAGAGTGAGAGCCGATGGTTTTTGAATAATTATCCAAAAGGATCCCGTACCTCATGCCAACTGACCTACGCCATACTTGTCTGATATTCGAATGTCTGTTGGTGAATCACGGCGGCCGTTCGTCAGCCATGGATGAATGCAAAGACGAGAACGACTGTCGATTGGCAATAGTCCTCGGCTGGCAGCCCTCAGGCAGGTTATCCTCACGGCTTTACCTGCCAACTGCCTGCCAGCTGCTTGCCAGCTGCCTGCCTAGCTCATCGCAGTTATCTGCAAGCCCGTGTCTGGGATCCATTTATCCACTTGCTGCCTGCGAACTTCATCTTCGGCTTGAGTTTCTACTCCTCTTCTACATCTTCTCTTCAAAACCATCCACCTTTTTCCTTCGACGTCGACAGCCACCATCGAAGAGACGCCTCCGAGAGCTGCTAGTCGATTCCTTTTCTTCTCGTTTCTTCTACCCGCCTTCATTCTTTCGCCTGACCCTTTCTGCTCCTTTCCTCTGCCCCCCTTATTTCTTTACGCACCCATAGGCCGCCGTCTCTCGTAACAATTTTCCTTACTTTCAGCTCGTATCGCAGGATGACGAACTGGAAACAATGTATTCCCTTGCCACCCAGCTTCGTATGGCTCGCTAAATTGTCACGGTTATGGCTCCTCGTTTGGCTCTCCTCACATGTTCACAGTCTCTATCCACCGATTACTCGCGCCGATGATGTTACTCCAAGAGCCGCCCTCGTAACTCTGGCCTATGAATCTGACCTTGAACCTTTGCTTTCGTCAATGCATCAGCTAGAGGATGCCTTCAATAGCCGATACAATTACGACTGGGTGTTTTTCAGCACAGCGCCTTTGAGCGAGGAGTTTCGTCGTTTGACATCGAACGCAACCACAGCTACATGTGTTTATGAAGTCGTTCACCAGGGTGGTGTCCCTTTGCGTCACTGGGAGAAAAAGGACCCCATCAGCCAAAATCAGCCATCACAAACTTCTCAGGGAGCTGCTTCACCAACTCGTGGCGACACATTCGAACCATTACAGACCTTCCGTCAGCTGCAGCGATGGAACAATGGACCCTTTGCGAAAGAGAAGCGGCTTCAGACATATGACTGGTTTTGGAGGATTGAGCCAGGAGTAAGTCTTCATCCACCAAACTATGATGGATTGTGTTCCTTTTTCTTGTTTCGAAACTCTGACTTGGTCTATAGGCTCAGTTCACACATGACATTGGATTTGACATTTTTCGTTTCATGAGAGATCACAACATTGCGTACGGATCCAACAAGGCCAATTTTGCACCACTTCAGCGGTCAATGCTTTCACAACAGGTCAAAAGATTTTTGGAAAAGCATTCTGATCTGTTGCACGCAGAAGCAGATGTAGCCTGGCTACTGGGGCTTTCTGATAACCGTCATAGCCACCGTGGTTCACTCAAAAGCTCAGAGTCGAATTCCGATGCCACACAGATTGTAAGTGGTAACTTTGGCAAGGACTAGGGGTCCCGGAGCTTTGGTTCCATTGACATAACGAATGACGATGCAGAAACGCCAGCAGAAGCATTCACAAACTGGTTAGTAACCTTCTACAAGAGTGGAACTTCGCCCAAATTCGACATAGGTTCGCTTTCTTTCTTTCGGAGCCACAGTCACCAGGTGCTTTTAGATCATTTTGATGGATACGATAGTCACTATGAACAAGGTCTTGGAGATGTTTTGGTACCAACCATCAGCGCCAGCATGTTCCTACCGCAGAAGAGTGTATGGAACCTCCGTCAAAAAGACCGTGGCTACAATAGCTGGCCACAACCCCCTGACTCAACCCCGGAGCCAAAGCTCAAATTGTGGCATCGCATGAAACGAGCAGTGCGCAACGATTCATATCGGAAAGTGACGAAACAGAGACAGAAATCTTTACAAGACAGCCAAAACGGACTAACGGAACGATTTGCTCTGTGGGATGCGATAGCTGAGGACTTTGGTAGGCAGGCCGCAATTCCCGGGCTACGATCGGGGAACACTGTGATTGACGAACGCAACTTTGCACTCAGTTGAACTTGCATTGGTGGGTATTTGAAGGAAGGTGAAGACTGGTTCAACGAATATTGAACGGTTTTTGCTGGCATCAATCTTCTAGGCAATAGCGCCTGATTTTACATTTTGTTGTTGGTCTTTCAGAGGCACCAAAGGCGGGTACATAGCAGTAGATTTTGGGTTTTTAAAATTTTTACTCTTTATTTGATATAGTGTCTTTTTTGTCAAGTGCATGTTCTTGTTGCAGTTCGCGATCACAGCGCTGTGTTTATTACGAGACTGAGGAGTTGCGGTGACACGAAGCGATGTTGACAAAGGCTTGAGAGTATTTGGAGTATAGAAAATCCAGACTAGACAAATCATAAAACCATTCTCACTCCACTGGTCTCGGGTGTCTCCAAGAAAGAAACAATCGACGTCCCCTCTACTTTTTCTCCTCGATTTCACGGAATCCAGTATACCGTCGTTTGAAAAGGCACCGCACCCCCTCTTGATACAGATCGACCGCAGGGTCAAGAAGGCCTGCAGACACCTAGAGTTACTTTACGCCTTTGTGGAAGATATAAAACTTGCAACAAAAAACGCCGTTCGTAAACGAGTGGAGCTTCTCATAATGTCTAGAACGTTTCAGCCTTTGCGAAAGACGTGCTCATGTTAGTTCTACACTACACTTTTAGGTGAGACTCTCCAGTGTCCACCACGAAAGTAGGTGATAATCGCACGAAGGGTATCATCAGAGATTCCGAAAAGAATAATCGACTGAAGAAAAGTTGAACCGCGCCAAAGAAATCAGGCCTTCATGTAGGCCATGCTCATGGCCCCAGCATTCTTTCAAGCGGGTACAGTGGCGTGGTTGGACCGAGAATACAGAACGAGGCTGCTGGAAATTTCTTACACTGGTAACTGAGGAAAAAGGGGGCATCGATTTGTCCAAGTCGAATACTCTACTATTAAGAAGCCTGTGTAGTAGCTCGACGACGCCTCTGCAGCTTATGGTGTTGGCCCACGGAAGTAGCGTTTGATAGTTTTCACCCTGGAATGGATATTGGCACCTCTATCAAGTAGAAGCCGACGAAGGGCTTTTGAGCGTTCTCGACGGCTTCCGGCAGCGTTGTCCTACCATGCCAGTCCTTGCGTTGAAGTCCGCACCGACTAGTAGTACACCTTCTGCCGCCGTAGAAGACTCGTTTTGAGCTGCAGCATCTAAGTCTTTGTCTTTAAGTCGCAAAAAGTTTCCATTGCAAGATGTAATACGTCGCTCTGATGAAGGAATACGTTTCTAAGCAGTATGGTCTGTGAGGGTGAATATGGGATCCGGGCCTGGATCATTCGGAAAAGCACTCCGCTGTGACAGGACGTCTTGCGAAGAGGACGAACAGGAACATTTTCCCCCCATACAAAGTGACATAACTGATTTTTTTCAAGTTTGTAATAGAACATGCGTATGTATACATCTTCTCTATTATTGAAATGAAGACTAGTCAAGCGCCTACCGACTAGTGTTGGGTGTCTGGTTCGTCCCGAAACGTAGTTGTAATCCGCCTTGAATAGTTGATCATGTCCATGACCGTGCTACTTGAAGCCTATTCTCATCTCTTTGTCCGCCTAAAACATATCATCAACATATTGGCGAATTGTGCTCCCCTTTCTCCGATGGGACTCTCAAAGTTGTGGAACGGTAGTCATTAACAGTACAGGTGGCTTGTTTAATGAGCCCGTTGCAACAAATTTGGCTTCTTTCCCGGTTTTGTCTAGGTTATATGGCAGTAAAACACCTATAAATCTGTAGTTTCAGTTCAATTAAACATACGGAATACTTCCTCACAATAGATGGCCTGTGGATAGCTAATCCGTATGTACCCAAGATGGAGATCTTCACGCGGATCATCGCTTGGCGGGCTTGGAGCTCCGCCTCCGATGCCCGCCGTCAAGCAAAAGCGAACATAAGAAAAGGTTTAAATCAATCAGTAGCTGCAGTTGCCGCCGCATTCGTACCCGTCATTCCTCCAGGAAGGCGGGCAAGAGCGGCATCATGGGATCCATTCGTCCTAGAGTATATATGTTGGATTCGCCATCAACTAGTGAAAGACTTGGGAATTTTTCATCCAGCATTGCAACAGGTCCCGCCTCGACATCTAAAGCGCATATTCAGCCGTCCTCACATTGACTGTGCCTAGAGGCACGGCGATCTAATGCAGCGAGATGCTTCGTGTCAGCGAAAACCAGTTCAAGTGAGAATAGCTATGTATATCATGACACGCACGGTCCACAGTCAGCGGCTCCATGACACCGTTGGTTGGAAAAGTGTTGCACACCAGGTAGGTTGCCAAAGGAGCTGCCTAGGAGATATCCGGGTTAAGTGTTAGCAACAGTCTGGGACGAGAAATTGGCAGTGGAGGCACTGAGGTCCAGAGGTTTGGCATGAATCCGAGTTTAGCCTTGTTATGCTCAACCATCTTCCTGCAATCCACAGCCTGGCCTTGCCCAGAATGAAGCAAGTACATCTCGGCCAATGAATAATATTGATCGTCATTATGCGGTTTGCTGTTTACCACGCCAACTTTCAAGGCCAGACACTTCCCACCCAGACGCTCAATTGTCGTTTACACTCGAGTATTCTGTACCTAGGTAGTTAGGCATTCTTTGGGGGCAGACTCTGCGGCATCTCCCGTTGTGTATTTATTACAGTAGAAGCGTTAATACACAGTGAGTCCCCATGTATCGGAGCACTAGCACACATGCTCCAATAACAGATGATTGAGCAGGATTGAACCGTGAGCCTTGAGTGCCATAGACGGAAGCTCCGGCACCGTGGCTTACTGGACGGGACGGCTGTGACAGGCTGTCTTCATAGTGTCCGGTGTGAGAATAGAGAGATTCTGGATCCAAGCCTGATGATGATGACGTGACAAACTTGCAAGGTAAAGATAGTAAACTGAAGACGAAGTAGGGTCGAAGAATAATCCATCAAATTATCCGCAGGGTCGTTATTCTCATTGTGGTCTACCTAAGTGAATAGGTACCTAGCTAGGTAGGTTGCTTGGTGTCAGGACAAACCACGTGCTCGACTGTGCCGCCTGATGTTGTATGCAAGACATAATAGCTGGTCGAGGGACGGGCGCAGATGATACCCATGATGTGTCAAGTAGTCATTATCTGCGGCAGGGCTGGCATTTGGATGTGCGCGATGATCTGCAGCTGTCCGGGGTACATTAGCAGATGCTGCTGGCAGCTTGGGCGGCAGAATAAGTTTCCTACCTACTTAAGTACTTAAGTACCTACCTCGGTACTTACCTAGTAGGTACCTATGGGGGTGTGCAGCACAGCGTAGAGTTGACATCTAGAAGAACTCTCAGACACAACTGCCTCCGCCCCTGTCGAGCTGGAGCTGGATTCCAATGGCCCACATCTCAAGTATTTGGCTGCTCTGACCAAGTACTCCTACTCAGGAGGTTCGCGGCTGGCGCTAGTCGTAGGAAAGTGCGGGGGAGGCTGCTCTTGCCCCCATGTCAGAACCCTGAGCACAAGTAAGAGCAAAGAGTGACTTCACGCTACGGAGTACTCCGTATCCCTTTGGCTGTGCTAAGGTGCCAGTCAGGTATCGAATTCTGGTTTTAGCCAATTAAAAACCCTACATTTAAAGATACTTAACCCCGCTAGGAAATAATAAGATAATAGAAGTACTAGTAATGCTGTGAGTTACAAAGAGCTACATCGCACATATTACAGCTGAACCTAGCGTATGGGGCCTTTTTGACGCTAAAAAGGTACCCGTTAGGTATCGCAGAAAAAATGGGGCCGATACCTGACTGGCACCTTAGCACAGCCAAAGGGATAGCTTGAGATGTCTGACCAACAAAGAGAGTTGTTTTTCTTTTAAAAAAAGAAAAAAACAATCAAGTTCCATAGTTGTGGGGTGCTCGGACAGTCGAGCCCAACCGTGCTGGTGCTTATGATGCCCCTAGCCGCGAACCTCGAATATTGCCGTTGGACCCCTGGGCATTTTGCCAAGACTTGAAAATCGCGATCAACGACTTTGCCTGCACCTTGGCCGGAGGCATCTTTCATGGATGGTGCATGGGATACTCACCCCAAGATACAAGCAATACAGTGCACTCGGCTGGCTACTAAAACTTATTGTAGTCGGCCCAATGTGGTCCCTTGTTGAGTCAAGTACCCGAGTTGCCAAGGACTTCTTGCATCCTCGGGCTCGCTCCCAACTTTCGACGTCATTGATCCAATGTTGACATTTGAAGCTGCAAAGCCACATGCAGTCAAGTTGCGTTAGGCAACATCGAAACGGCCCTCATCCGCAAGCTTCGGAGTTTTTCCCCCTTTCTTTGCTCTTTCCTTCTTTTGCATTTGAACGTCGCACGGTCCTCCTTCGCATCCATATTGTACGGCATCGATCGGCATCGGCACCGGCGTCACCTCCTTATCTTGAGTCTTAGCCTCCGCGCCGCCCGTCAATTGAGTCCCCGTTCTGTCAAAGGGCTGATCCCAAACAAAACTGCCTTCAGCCACTTTTCTCGGGAAAGGACTATGTAACTGACGAACAGCCTGGGCCACTTGTATCACTCGCATTCAAGCCGCATGAGACGCTGGGCACTGCATTGCGCCCTGGCCAATTTGTGATCCCCCCGCCTTTGTCGTTTTCGAACTCTTGCTCATCCACCACACCGTTTGTCAATCATTCGCTACCACTCGACACTTGTGCTCTGTACGGAGTACTCACTCTCCTTCCCCAACCAGCGTCAGCGACAAGTGTACTTTGTTTTTCTTTTTTCCTTTTGTTTTATGTCAATACTGGCTACTCTTTTGCATCTCAACGTTCCTTTCTGTCTTCTTTTTTTCTTACCTTTTTTCTCAATCACGACGAAAATTTGTTTTTCAGCGCCGCTCTTCGCTCCTTTCACCTCCAGCACAAGGTGCGCGAGGTTTGACCGTGGACTTCCTGTTACCCCTGCCTATCTTTCCCCGACGCGTGATATCACCACCGGCGACGTGCTGCCATCATGGCAATTCTCGAGACCGCGGCCTCAAAGGCGGCTGGTCCTGGCGCCTATCGGAGCACCAAAGGAAATGGATTCGCAAAGAATGTGTCTTTGATTTTTGTACGTTCTTCCGCTGCCGCCATGGCGGCGTACCTGAGCGCACGCGACCTTCACGAGGGCGGCTCTTGAGACGATGCTTAAGCTAACTGTCTACCTAGTTGACTTTCCAGAATTCGGCCCTGATACTGGTACGTTTAACATTCCATCGCCGCGAAGCAATTCAGAACCGTCGTCATCGTTGGCTGCTCGTGCCCTCGTGCCAATCCTAGAACGACCTAACATCTCCGCAGGTGATGCATTACTCGAGAGTTATGCCTCCTGAAGGCGACCACCGGTATTTCACATCGACAGCCGTCTTTCTCAACGAAGTTATTAAGCTGGCCATATCTCTCACACTGGCTCTATACGAGACGTCCAAGACCCTTGCTCCGAGCACGCCAGCCACGGTTCTCTTTGAGCAGATTTACAACGGTGTATTCTCCAATGATGGCTGGATGCTGGCCGTGCCCGCCGCTTTGTACACCTTCCAGAATTTGCTGCAGTACGTAGCTGTCGAAAATCTGGATCCAGTTCACTTCCAGGTCTTGTATCAAGTTAAGGTGTGTTGTCCAAAACAGCATCGAATTTCAAACAATCAGACCTAGCTTTCAATGCTGACAAGCAGAGCAGATTCTCACAACAGCCGTCTTCAGTGTTTTTCTTCTCCGCCGCCAACTGGGTTTCAAAGGATGGGCGTCCCTCGTCATCCTCACAATCGGTGTCTGCATCGTTTCTCTGCCACCCTCCGAAAAGACGACCAACTCGCTCCTCCTGCACGGCGTCCCCGACCACTTCTTTCCTCGATCAAAGCACGAAATTGGCCAAACTGTGGCTGGCGCTGATGTTCCCGAAGCAGCGCTGCACCTGAGCAGGCGGTCCGCCACGTACGAAGGCATCGCCAAAGATTTGCCTCCCGCAGACCCCATTATGAACTTTTCTGTGGGCGTTACCGCAGCCCTCGTCTCTGCCGTTGTGTCTGGATTGGCAGGTGTTTACTTCGAGAAGCTGCTTAAAGAGAGCTCTACCAATGCCAGTGTCTGGATGCGAAACGTTCAATTAAGCTTCTACTCGCTCATTGCGGCTTTCTTGGGAGGCTGTATGTACCAAGATGGCGCTGGCATCCAAGAACATGGGTTCTTTGAGGGCTACAATGCCGTGGTTTGGGCAGCAATACTGCTCCAGGCTGCTGGTGGGCTACTAGCCAGTCTCGTGATTCGCGATGCCGACAATATAGTAAAGAACTTTGCGACGAGCATCAGCATCGTAATCAGCTTCGTCGTCAGCGTGTGGATCTTCGACTTTGCCGTCACCTTAACAGTAAGTTATTTGTCCGCCTAAAAACAGCGCTCCTCCATCTCAGCCTCGCAACTAACAAATCAGTTTCTTGTGGGCACTTCCCTTGTTCTTCTGGCAACATATATCTACAGCGTCCCAGAACGTAGGCTCCACTGTCCTCCGCCCGTGCGCATCGTTAGTTTCGAAAAGCCCGCCATCGTACAAACCGTTACGCCGTTGCAAACGCCTCGCACGGCAGATACTCGCCGTTTGAACACCGAATCATTCGAGGGCAGGGGGGTCGGGAAGACGACCAGTCGACCCAGTAGTCCTATGTTGCCTCGTGTGGCGAGCCGCACTCATGTCCATAAAGAAGATTTCTAGGTTAGGAGAGGAATGTAGTTTAGCACATTTTATTCAGTTTCTGGTTCCGCGGCAAGTATGGTATGCGGCGTCTGGGGGAAAAAGCATTGATTTAAAGCAGTTGGGATGGCTATATGAGCATATATGAATTGGCAAGGCTTTTTGGGTAGGATTTTTTGTAGACGGATCTAGAGGCTTGATACCTACCATGTGAGCGACTTACTCTCAAGAACTGGCAGGGGAACGAAGAAAACGTCGATCTATATGGCTACCAGTGCCTTCAGCAACGGCAAACATTAGACATATCAACACGTTTTCTCTTAAATTGCGTCAAGAAAAACAGAACAGGCTGAACTTTGATTTCTATATTCCCTGCTAGATATCTACCTTCGTAGCGGGCGTGGACCGACGCCCAGCTACCCCTGGTAGAAAGTCCCTGTCACAATTAACTAAAGCTCCAATGGGGCAATCCACACTCAAGATTGACGTTCTTGTCATTGATTTGCCCTTTACATTCCCAACATGATCTCAACGGGTTTGACTGCTCCGTACGTATTAACTCCACTGTTTCCCCCCTCTCCCGCAAAAATATTCAGTTTTAATATTAAACGCCATTTACATGATGACTTCATTTGCCACATCCTAAATGCACATGTCAGCCGGTCTATTCGAAAATGTTTCCTCAGGAAAAGACGCTTACCCTCTTTAATTCTTTGTAGGGCAGACAAATGCAGTTCTGTATACGAACTTCATCCCCCACAACGCAGTCCTTACCCAAGATAGTGATACTCTGAACCTTGACGCCGTTCTTTATGATGATAGTCGAGTGGCTGCTCGCCGGTGTGGGCGTACCTTCCACACGAGCCCAGGCGCCTACTCTGCTGCCCCAGCCGATGATTGAGTACAAAATGCAAGCATCGTGCTTGACCTCGGAGTCCTCCAGGACCACACTCTCCTTGATGCGGGCTCCAGCGCCGACAATCACGCGGGGCCCAATGCTCACGTTGGGACCGAGCTTGGCAGTAGGGTGAACTTGTGCGGTGGGGTGTATGAAGACAGGAGGCACAATGTTTGCACTAGGTTGGGCGAGTTCCTGGCTATCTGACTGCCATGCTTGCTGCAAATAGAGTGCGTTGGCGGGCACAGCAGATCCTGCCGTCTTGATCTGGCGCCAGAAATCCTGCGTTTCGTAGACAAAGAACTGCTTGCTGTCTGCCATGTCACTCAGGATATCTTGCTCGAGTCGAATTACTTCGTTCTTACGGCTGGATTCCTCATCGTCGTCGTCGCCACCTGGTGGAAACTGATACGATTCGAGATTATCCGAGGAAGGGTACGATAGGAGACGAGCAGGTCGATCGAGGCGGCGCTTGATAGCCGACTTGATGGATGGGAAGATTGCCTCAGTGGAGAAGAGATATACACCACAGTTGATCAAGTTGCTAATTTGGGACTCGGGCTTTTCGACATAATGCAATACTCGACGAGTATGCGTGTCAGATACGATGCAACCAAAGTTGGTGGCGGCATCGTCGCTCACACGGGTACCAAGAATGACTGCCTCGGCGTCCTTTTCCACGTATAGCTTGAGCATCTCGGCCAAGGGGAACGAGCAGCACACGTCAGCGTTGAGAACAAATATTCGTTCGGGTTTGCCCTTGAGGATGGCATCGCGGAAGTGGTACAATCCGCCAGCGGTGCCAAGAGCCTGGTATTCGCGTAGGTAGCGGATCGTGATAGAAGGAAACTCCTTGGCCGAGTCCTTGATGAAGTCACGGAAAACAGCTTCATCGTAGTAGCCGATGATGTATACTTCTTGGATCTGCTTGTTGGGCACGCGGGCTATGGAGGATAGGCAGTGCCAGATGATGGGGTGGCCGGCGACTTCGAAGAGGGGCTTGGGAAGGTCGAGAGACAGTGGACGGAAACGGGTGCCTCTTGACGGACCGCCAACCTTGGATCGTTCATGTTAGCCGAATAACAATGGTTCAATTATGAATATGCTCAGTCTGCTTGTCACGGTGATCGGCAGCTTGCCCGCAAAGAGCAACATCAATTGTTCCCATTCCAAGGCTTTACCTCCGATTTCCTCCGACAAGACAGAATAATATGCTGCCATCTTTGTTAAACTCACCAGAATAATGGCTTTGGTTGTGCCCTGGTCCTTGGACCGATGCGTCAAGGGGATCTGGAGAGACATTGCGGTGACGTTTGTTGGGAGTTTGAAAGCGGGAAGTGGGGTGGTTCGATTGGAAGTTAAGATAGAGGACGAGCAGTATATCGCCAATTATCCTCACGCAGGCATCTGCCTTGCTTCTAGAAATACAGATCCAACCTTTACTGCGTTGTACATGGGCAAAAGAGGGAGACTGTATGAGGGTCAGGAGATGAGGCGCGGTGGTCGGAATCGGCTTGATCAGACATGTCGAAGCTCAGGCACAGCTGAGCTCATGTGGGCAGGAATGGCGGGGGGCGGATTTGGCGTTGCCAGGGGGTGTCCAGCCGCCAGCCATGGAATGCCGTCTGGCCTCGACTATTTCTGCGGCACGTATGTACCAATGCCGCGCAGACTCAAAATTCTTGCTGCTAGCTTGGACGACCCTGGTCCATTGCCAGTCAGAGAGAGAGCCACAGCGTGTTCCGCGACGTGTGGTTCAACATTAACTGCACCCACAACCCCAGCCCCCTGCTTTTTTCACCATCGCAACTCCAGCGACCATTAATTTTTGATAGTGCCAGCTCGACGACAACGGCCGGACTACCACAAATACTGTGAAAAGGATGGAAGTAGTGCATAGTTCTATCTTTTCAAGAATTGAAAAAGCCTTCTGCTGAAACTTCTGCTGTATTATCATGGAACTGGGTCGCGGTGCCGGTCATCGCTCTCCTCGCACTATCACTTCTTATCTTTCCTGGGAGTCTGCCCAGAGCCCTGGCGGTTCAGCGAGGCAGCTGTTGCCACCTGTACGGCGGCACGGGACCAGAACTCGTCAATCTGGTCTTTGCCTTATTCTCAGTCACCTTACTTTGCACTCACTTTCATTGCTAGTTGACTTCCTCCAATTGCACTGTTTGTCTGATTAGATCCGCCCATTTCTCTGTTTTTCAAGATACCCTGCCAGCCTGTTTGATTTTCTCTGAACTCAGCCACATTATTTTTCACTCTGCAGGTCGTCTTCTTTCTGCCCTTCCTTTCCTAAGCCTCTTGTACAACATCAGTGCAACGCTTGTCCTGATCCCATTGAAGGAATTTGAAGCATGATCCTTACATAAAAATCTCTTTAAAAAATCCTGTCACCACCAGTTAATCCGACATGACAACTGCAACTTCGCGTCGCCACCGTGGAGGACCTGGAATCCGGCCTATCAAGCAAGACCCAGATACTTCCTTAACGGAGCTTTTCGCCCTAGACGACATCAACAACGATGACAGAAGATCTCTTGTTACAAACTACGATCCCACCAACCGCATAGCTCGCCAAGGCAGGTCTGATGCACGTAAGTCTTGAAATAACCTGACCTTTTCCATGCTGATATCCGTACTGACATGTCGACAGCTGCGCCTAGTGAGCGTAGCATGGAGACAGGCCCCATGTTGCGAGAGATTAGGACTCGTCCTAATGTCACGAATGGCATGTCTATGGAAAGCCCAATCAGCAATCATGATGACAGTTTCTTTCATACCTCTTTCCAAGATATCGGCAAGAAGTTAAAGGCTTGCAACGACACCCTGGGTGAACTACAGCAGCTGGGCGTGTCTCATGATGTCCAGTTGCCAGAGTTGGTCCTTGTTGGTGACCAGTCGGCCGGAAAATCAAGTCTCATGTCCGGTCTTGCGAATTTGGATCTGCCCAGGAGTGAGGGCACCTGCACGCGGTGCCCACTTCACATTCGAGTTTCGCGCAATAGCGACTGGTCTTGTCGTGTTTGGCTTCGAAAAGAGTACTCGTTTCAGCCACCCACTGATCGACCTATTGTTGAGTCGGATGTGACGGATGAAGATCCCTTCTTTCCATGGCGCAAGCAGCCTGTTTCGGCTGTGCATGAGTTCAAGACCATGCAGGATAAGAGCCAAATCGAAGAGGTTTTAAGATGGGCCCAGATTGCTATTCTGAACGACGATAAGCATCATGGCCTGTTTATTCCAGGCTCTGGAGGCATCGCAGTCAACACGCGCATTGAGGACGCTGCCGCAGAGACTATCGCCAAATTCTCACCTAACGTTGTGGCTTTGGAAATCAAAGGGCCTGATCTGCCCGATCTGTCCTTTTATGACATGCCAGGTATTTTCCAGAATCCCGCGGATGCAAAGGATGATTACTTGGTAAATGTGGTGCGCAATCTGTCCAAAGCTTATATCCAACACCCTTCGGCCATTATTATTTGCTCCATGCCCATGAATAGTGACGCCGAGAACTCGTCTACTTTTGGCCTAACTCGAAGGCTGGGCGCAACCTCGCGAACTATCGGCGTCCTAACCAAAGCCGACCTGCTCCCAGAAGCGGGAAACCACGACCAGTGGTTGGCTATCATGAAGGGCTGTACCCATCAGACAGGCCTGGGATATTTTATTACTTCACGTCCACAAGGCAAAGATCTTGATGAGCTGAAGAAGTGGGAAGAATTGGTATTCGAGTCTCACTCTCTTGGGAACTGGCCATCGGAGTTTCGTGAGTTTTCCGAACGATGTGGGGTTGAGAAACTCAAGTCGTTCCTCTCTGAACGTTTGGGCGAAGAATTTGCTAAAAGGTAAGCCTCCAGAGGAGCAGTTGTTGTCCTGAGGACACTGCTTGTAATAACGGCTAACCCGTTACAGCCTCCCAAATATTAAGCAGAAAGTCAAGCACCACTTGGACAAGATCACGAAGCAGTTGGCAAACCTTCCAGAACTTCCTGACAACGTGGAGCTGGAGATAAAGACGGGGCTAATGGCATTTGCTGACTCGGCACGGGTTAAGTTGGAAGGGTTTATGAGCCACTTCGGCGTCCTGCCGCGCAATTTTCGCGAATGTCTACTAAATACAAAGCCCAAGTTCACTCTCAAAGACAAGTCGGATTTTCCCGTCCTCGAGATATCAGACGATGAATCAGATGCAGCATCCGTTGCAACAACTACTCCAACTGCGAAAAGGCGCACGGCGCCAACACATATTACCCCTTCCAAGCGGCCTCGTCTAGAAACTCCCTTGCACGGGACCCCTTCCAACGGCCACATAAAACCTGAGGAACAGCATGGAATTGCTGTACGTGGGACTAGTATCATGCCTCCTCGCACGACTATCCCTAAAAACTCAGTCTTTCCGGAACCATTTGCGGAGTTTACCAATGTTGGCCGTGGTTTCCGTACTCTTCGTCAAGTTCGCGAGGAGATTGAAGCAAAGACCAAGGCTGGCATGCCTGATCGCACATCTGATGAAGTGTATGAAGACCTGGTACTTGAAGCAGTCCGGCCGTGGAATGGGCCCATGGATGCCTTCATCAAGCAGACAATGCGAGAACTTCAGTCGGAATTAGAATCTACCCTCAATAAAGCGTTAGAAGGACTTAAAAAGAGGTTTATTTATCTGGAGGCCAAACGGCACCTGCGAAGGTTCCTCGAGGAGCATCGCAAAGAAACGGAGCATGATCTTGCCCTTCTCTACCATGATGAAAAAGAACGCCTGCTCACCTTCAACAACAAGGCGTTCGAGCAATACAGGGCTGACGAGCACATGGAGCTTACACGTTTTCGACACTTTATGCGACTTAAGGCTGTTGGCCCAGACCCTGGAGACTACATTACGAGTGACAAGCTTACTGAAGATAAACGAGTCCAGGAAGCCAAGAAGAGAGATCAGGAGATGCTCAGGCTTGGTCGGGATCCGTTTGCGCGAGAGCTGGAGGTCATTGCATACGTTAGGGGGTATTATCGCCTCGCGGCCTTGCGCTTCGCCGATGCCGTGTCCCAGCGCATCATCTGCCGTATGATTCCAGCTATTCGACGTCAACTGCCGCACTATTTGGAGGATAAGCTAGGTATTCGGGGTCCTGACGCAGCAAGTGTCTATGAGAGACTAATGGAGGAGGACGAGACAACCGCTAGCAAGCGAGAGACGTTGAAGGTTGAGAAGGATAAGTTTGTGAGGGCATTGGCCAGTATCGAGCTGCTCGAAAATGGTGCAGCGGCTGCCTCAAGCATGTCAATGTCTAGTATGGCAAGCGTTAGCATGACATCGACGGAGACATCGACGCAGAGGGTCGGGCCCATGGAGTTGGACGGCCGCGCTGAAGAAGATGAGGTGTAGCGTGCGAATTTCAAGCCCTGGACCAGAGTGTAAGATGACTTGGTGAGTGATGTTGCATGGGCGAGTGAGAGAGATTGGCTGTGTGCTATTCCGAACCGTTATTGGCTGCAGTGTGGAAACTAGGTATACGTGTTAACTGAGGGAATTGGTAAAGGGATGGATAATAATCTACTGTTTGTATTCACAAGACTAAGTTGACTGGACAAAGAAGAAATTGCTGTTGGCAGCACAGAGAACTTAATGTACAGATAGATAGAGATGCGAAGTAGACACGCAACTAATCGGCGAATTGGAATGCAAAAATGGATTTTATTCCTTGGTTTCTTTCTCTCTCTCTTTCTCTCTTTCTCTCTTTCTCTCTTTCTCTCTTTCTCTCTTTCTCTCTTTCTCTCTTTCTCTCTTTCTCTCTCTCTTTCTCTTGTCAAAAAGAATGGGCTTCTCACCACGAACAAATATGTAAACATAGTTTTGACAACAAACACACTTCTCATCATCTCCCCCGAACAAAAACACACATGGCTCGCTCATAGTCAATAATCATGTGGCTCAAGCATCAGTCAACAAAGACCCAACGTGGCAGCAGCTATGGGCAAATCTTTTAGCGTGAATAGCTCTGATTCCAGCCAGCTGAGTATGGCCCCTGCAACGAGTCAAGGCAAGACGCGGTGGCGTCGTGCGCGGGCTATCGTGCGTTTGGTTTCCCCAAAAGATGGAATTTGGGCGCAACATAAAACCCGGGACGGCTAGTTTGGTTCTGGAGTGGCAAGTCCCGGCCACACGGGAGGCTTGGCGGCCCTCGGTTGGTATGGGCGCCAATCAGAGACGAGGAGCGGCGGATGACATGTCCGAAAGGGGCAGGCAGAGGCAGGTTGCAGGTTGTGCAGAAACAATAATGGGAATAAAGAAGTGTCCATGGAGGACCGTGGAGGGGACGTGGAAGGGGGCTTGTACTCGAGAAGCAAGTCTTGAGGGAATCGGTCTTTATCTAACGCTCTCTTTTGGCCGGAGATTTGCAAATCCTTTCCCGCTACGATGGTTCATGTTCTCAAGTGCCTCGGGTCTCGGGGCCAGAAAGGTTCGGCAAGAAGGACTGTGCACTCCGTACCTTTGGATTTGGCCCGAATTTCACGAGGTTGATGAGCATGTGTCTTTCTTTCCGCTTCGTGGACGCCAGTGTGGTGGTTGGCCGGGCGGTGGTGGTGTTTCTGGTTACACGTGGTGATGAGAGTGTTAGTCTGGGGGTTCATGACTGGCAGAGCTTGGGACATGTTGGCCGGTTGATCAGTTGGCGGGCGCTGCAACACAAGACAGTCTTTTTGTTCATTCCAACTACCTTCTTGACGACCGGAAATGTAGTTGCCGACACAAGGCTCATCACAATGTCTCACATCAACAAATCACTGGCAACCGGCCCTGTGACAACACTGCCAACAGAGTCATAATTTTTGTAACAACTGCCTGCTCCATTCTCCTCTATTGGTGATTTAACCCGTATTTCTTTTCCCTCTTGTCTAGCTCAGACCAGTATCAAGCCTCTCATGTCCAGGGGGCAAGCTAGCATCTAGTTTAAACTACTAGCGCTACAATGCCCCTTTTGAGAATACGCTTTTTCTTCTACCACGGCTAAAAGGCCGATTTCGCGTGGTGTCTCCATATTCTCTTATATCGGTTGGATGTGATTGTACGACAATCCTGTTTCCTGACAAGCAGGACCTGGAGGCTGTGGCTTGCATGAAGCTAGCTACGTGTTTCCGGTTGTGATCTTGTCCAACCCTTTATAGAGAGATTGGCAGTTGGCAGATAGCCACTCCTGGACAAGCAAGTGTTTTCAAGGAGAATATTGAGCTGATAATCCCGTGTTTCCGATGCGCCTGGGTGGTACAAATTCTGGGTTCAGTCTTGGGGTCCCCATGTCTATCTACATGGGGTGACCTGGTCTAAATACTCGTTTTATTCTTAACACTATATTATTGCCCTTTTTTTTTCTTTCTTTTACTTAGAATAAATGTAATTAGTAAAGCGATTTTATATTTAAAGTAGTAGTATTAATTATAAGCCAGTAGCCGAATTATGCCTTGACATGATGCCTTGACACTGGACGGGACACAACTTCATATAAGTCCGCGTTTCTTTCCTCTCCAGAAAGTCTTCATCACAGGCTTAGAGTTTCCAGCCATCTCACACTTTCATCTAATTACCTTTCTGTTTCCAGACCTTTGAACTCTGGGCCTTGTCTTTCTCGCTGCTGCCCTGGTACTTGAGAGCAATTATTCCTCCCTCCCAAAGTCAAGTCTATCCGGTTGACCTCGGCTTCTGCAAACCGAGAAGCAGGAGACCAGCGACAATGCGCGCACCAACGCGCCTCACTTCGGAAAGGTCATCTGGTACAAGGAGCCGCACCTGCGCAAGCTCTACTTCCTGAGCATCTTATTGCTCGTAGCGTCTGTCACAACCGGCTACGATGGCATGATGATCAACACCTCCCAGCAGATGGACAAATGGAATGAGTACTTCCCAGAGACCCAGAGCGACAACAAGCCGGGTATTCTGATCAACATGTTCAATATCGGTTCCATTATTGCCTACTTCGTTTCACCTCATATGGCGGATAATCTGGGCAGGAAGGCGACCATTATGATTGGGTGTGTGATTATGGATCTCGGTTCTTGCATTTCGGCCTTTTTTGCAACGGATACGGAGCTGAGTTTGTTTCCTCCTTTTCCAAGCCATCGATATCGTTCCGTCGACTTTGTGGAGAGCTTTGTACCGCCAGATGCTAAAGTCTCCGTGCGTCAAGTGTACATCGCCGGTCGATTTATTCTCGGTTTCGGAAACTCTCCGTCGTAGATTCGTTCACATATGCTGCTGAAGGAAATTTGCCATCCTTAAGGACAAGTCGGAGCTGGTGCTCGAAATCCTGGCGAAGCACCACGGCGGCGGCGATACTAACAAAGCCACTATACAGTTCCAATATCGCGAGGCAAATGATACCATCCAGGTCGGCCGCAACGCCAAGAAGGCTACGAGCTATCTTGGCTTTTACAAGACCAAGGGCAACCGCTGAAGATTGGCTATCATGATTCCTCTCGGTGTCATCTCGCAGTTTCTGGCAATGCCTTGTTCTCCAACTATATCAATATCATTTACGACGGCGCTGGCATCACGGAACAGAATAAGAAACTTGCCGTTCGTTTTTGCTACCAGCATCTACCCCCACGGTGTATCGTCTGAAACTAATTCCATAACAGTTGACCGCCGGCAGAGCCGTCTTCGATCTCATCGTCTCCATCAGCGCCGCATTCACCGTCGACAAAATCGGTCGTCGCCCTCTGTTCCTCACTGCCATCACCGGCATGGTCGTCTCCTTCATCTGCTGGACCATTGTCGGCGCCGTCAACGAAAATTCCGGCGTTCCATCTCTGCCCACACCCGACTCGGCGAACAGCGGTGGCGTCACATATACCAACGCGTCCTCTGGTTTCGCCCAGATCGTGTTTGCGTGGCTCTGGGGCATCTTCTACGACATTGGCTTCTCCGGCCTCCTCGTCGCATACACTCTGGAGATTCCACCCTTCCATCTTCGCGCCAAGGGTGTGACTAATATGAACATTACTGTACATGCTGTTCTGGCCGTTGAAAGTGCGTACGCACCACAAAAGGTCCTTGAAACGACTCTTTGCAGTTTCTACTGACAACGGTAAATAGTCCAAACCAACAAGATTGCGTGGAACAATCTCCCCCGCCACTGGAATTTCATGCTGTTCTACACCATCTGGGACTTTTGTGCACTCATATTTGTGTTCTTCTTCTATGTGGAGACCAAGGGCCTTGTTCCTAGCCAGGAGTTTGGAGTTGGAGGTTGAGCTATCTGTTCAACTGTGCAATTGTTGGCATCACGCAGTGACTCACTCAACACTCACCTTGTGACATGGCGGTCTCTTCGCAAATACACCCGAGATACGGATGAATCAATGCTTGTCGACTTGTACCTTTGGAGTGTTGACAAGTTATCCATCGATACTCCGCGGAGGTTGAGCCTCACCCTTGTGGAGTCCATCAGTCGGGCCGATGCTTAAAAGACTCCGAGGTCGCCTAGCAGAAAGCCATATATCACCCCGACTGCGCGCAATTCTAATCCCTCGATCCGTAACGCGAGAAAAGTCTCAGATACACCTCAACATGTCGCAAAAGATTTGGCAACGCAAATTCGAGGCCGGCCTCGGCCTGGAGAAGACGCTTGCTGCGACCCGGAGCTCCGGTCGCCCGGTCGCCGTTGAGAGTCCGCCGACCAACGTGAGACAAACCATCCCGCCTGCCTCCGGCTCGGGGTCCGGATGCGGCCCCGGCATTGGGCGCATACACCTTCCTTCGTTGGAACACGGTGCTAATGTAAACATGAAACAAAAATAGGTTGACGATCTCCTGAAAGCCGAAGTCGGCGGCGACGGCTTCACACTCACTTCATTCACCGCTCAGGATGCCTGGGAGCTGGGCCACCTGCTGCATGCGCGACTACTCCCGTTTACCCCCTCTCGTCCTGCTCTCATCTCCATCAGTCTCGCCAACGGCAGCGTCGTGTACCAGAGCGCTACGGGGTCCGGCATCGCTCCCGACAATTCCGTGTGGGTGGCTCGCAAGCGTGCGACGGTGCTGCGCTTCGGAGTCAGCAGCTGGCTGATGGGCCGCAAGTTTGAGGGCGACGAGGCGGCCTTTGCTGCCAAGTTTGGCCTGGGGCCAGATAAGTCGGGTGAGTATGCTATTCACGGCGGTGGTATACCCATCAAAGTGCGCGGTGTTGAAGGCGTGGTTGCCGTCGTCGTCGTCAGTGGGTTGAAGCAGCATGAAGACCATGGCGTGATTGCAGAGGTCATCCGGGAGAACTGGGCACCCGTGGAGGGATAGCTGATCGGGGTTAGGAAGCTACATTGGCCTTAGAAGCTGTGTCCAAGGCCCCAGTCATTTGTTGAATGTGCCACTTCCTTCACAAACTGGCCATTATCCCCGGAGCGGCCTGGACGAGGAAGTTCAATATGGCAACAACAGCGACGCGGTTCAGTTACAACAACAGGGGGTACAGTGCTGCCATGAGAACCCGAGTTAAAAGACGGTCTTTTGTCATTGTTTGAAGCTATGTAGTGCATGAATCCGACTACCGTTTTAGCTGGATGCTTAACCCCAACGTGATAAAGATGAGCAAGCCATTTCGACATTCGGCCAAGCAACTAGAATTAGTTACCCGATTGAATATGTGGGCTATGAAAGACACACTTGATTGAACGCTGCTTTGGTGGAGGAGCTCAACCGACGTAGCCGATATGTTGCTTGTGAGACAAATATCCCTTGTTCAGCTTTTGAGGTTGTCTCACTTGTTACGGAGTACGTACCAGCTTTTGCTTTTGCTATGGAGGCGCGGGCCCCATAGACTCAGCTGAGCTACCGATGCTACTCGGCGCCCGCATCATTGAGTTCGGCGAATGGCATGTCTCTTGAACCTGAGAGAGCGGGGAGAACATGCAGCCAGCCGTTTGTGGCAAGTCGAACCGCTGCCTCCTTTGTACGAATACGGAGACTTTCATGCTGTGGTGAAGGCTGTGGAGCATAATTGGCAGTAAAAGTTACAGTATTTGAGCATTGCCGGGATGATGTCTGAGCAGTGACAGTTCCGCGGACATAAGTGTGCATGTCGGGTAACGAACAAGAGCAACGTTCGTTGGATATTTGTCTCAATGGCAAGCGAATGTCCTAGCTTCCTGAGAGCAAATACGACTCCTCATGAGGGCTGTGAAGGGTGTATTTGGAGACTTTTCTTGCGGCGAAAGAATGAGTTACGGAGACAAAAGCCGTGGCCAAATGACAGCTGTGACACGTAGCCGCGGCGTGGAAGAAGAGTGGTCAACATCGACTGCCGCAACTTGGTATCCCGTCGAAATCGTTGTCATGACTCATGGCCCAGCCAGATAACGCAACTGAGCCCCATCAATTGTATTCTAATTGAAACAGCAGACATAATGGATTAACAATATGCAGTGTCAATATGAACAAGACTACAACCCCCTACATGACTTTTAGTACTAACCAGACTGTTTTAGGACTGAAGATAGGTGGCTTTGGCAGCAACTTTTGTGTAACAGAATCCAGAGCAAACTCACCACAGAACTAGTACAATCCCCATAATAAATTAATATGAACACAACTCAAATAAGGAAGATTGTTACTGGGCACGGTTCCAAGGCGTTGTTGCTTCACACCTTCGCCATACCAAAATCCAATGCAATCGAAGGATCAATAGTTCAGTGCTGCATCAGAAATACTACCCAGGGGTATATGCAAATGCAATTTTAAGCGCATACGAGATAGCCAAAATACAAAGACAGAAATTCAGTCAGGCTTTTCTATAGCAGCTCGGATTGGCAGCGTTGAAAGGATTGCATGATGAAGAGTTGAAATGATGATGTGTGGTTGTGGTTCGTCGTAAAGATGGACGGTGGTGGGCCTTCCCCGTCAACACGGGCCGTGATTTACCCGGACCAGCCATAGTGGAGAAAGACTGGCAAATTGCTGGCAAACCCGACCCACCTTCTATCTGAGCTTCGACCCTTAGACACAACCTCTATCAGCTGGGCCGAAGACCGTCATTTGCTTATTGGCGGCTTTGTCTCCCTGCCAGCATTGTGCTCGTTATTGAGTATGATATTGCGAAGGTGAGCGCGTGTATCGTGCAAAGATCCCTGAACTCGAACCTCAGCCTGCCGGTCCTACCGCACCGCCCCTCCAGCATGGGAGCCTGCCAATCGTGCCTAGGCCGGCGCGATAGGGATGACTATGAGGAGGTACGATGTTTCCCGCGACTTAGAAAATCCCCTGTATCTCTATCCGGAATGCTAATACTTGACGTAGAGTGAAGAGAACCGTCTACTGTACGACGATGGCAATGGAATGGGCTACGGGAGCTTCAACGACTCGGCCATGACTGGCGACGACACGCTCGAGGCACAGCGTGAGCACGAAGCTCTGCAAAGAGTGGTGGCTAAAACATCAAAGTTAGTAGAAGTATGGTTTCGAGGATGGTTTGAATGGCTTGGGCTGACTTGTGTAGTAATATGGTGGACGTTTTCGAGATTGGCCCTCAAGATTTCTTTGGCCGAGGCGGCACATCCACTCCGTTTGCCTACGCTGGACAAGGCGCCAGAGTTGCCCGTTATCAGCACCTGGTGTCAAAATTGAGCACTGAAGAAGATCCTGCTACCCCTGGAGTCAAGATCGATTGGCTCACGGACGACGAAGACACCCTCGAAATGCGGACCAACACGACGACCAATGTCAAAGCCATCGATGATGATGCAGTTGGGCCACTTGTCGGCACGTTCGCGGATGCTGCGGCGGCCATGAACTAACAGTGAATCTTTTAAACCGCCGCAGATATGATCATGGGCGGAGGAAGATTCGGTCAATGCCCATACTCTCTTTTCTTTTCAACTTCATGTTTTATATACCACCCTGCTGTAGATTAGGCAGTCTAACGACTATTTCTGGTATCCATTTCCGTACTATTTTGGCTTAGGGGAGGTGGGTACCGAAACCCAAATGAAAGCCGAGCGTTCTTTCCTTTTTCTCTTCTTTTCTCCTTGATCCTGGGCCAGGACCGGCATAAATCTCGAATCATCTTTAACTGTCCTCGAGGGCGGAGAGTTGACTCGGATGTTTTCTCTCTTACTTCTCTCGTTTGCATCTTTGACGGCCAGGTTTTCTTTCTTCTCTTTTGCTTCGTTTCTGAACCTGGATGGGTTGAGACATGAACATATTTATCCACATGTTTTAGTACGTATGATGAGGAGGAACCAAGTGTACAAAAGGCAGCCACGACGCAGACAGACGAATGGCATTTATTTACTCTAAAAGAGCAGAAAGCGCCAAGGCTGAATCGCTAGATTCAGAAAGGAAGCCAGCAACTGCATCCAAAAACTGGACCTGAAATACTACTGTTATCATCCCTGGCCCTGGACACCAAACCTGGTCGCGGGGTACCATGCAGGCAGCATTACACCCTATTCTACACCGCAAAAGCGTTGAGAGCTAAACACGTGCGCAACTTACTAGTGGAGTCCGACTAGCTTGTGAACTGTTGTCAACGCCATGTCGTTCAAATGGCCATTGGCTTTTGTACTCCGTCTTCGGCTCGCACCGTTTCTTTAGTTTCCTGGCCCCAGTGAGGGGCGGAAGCAAGGATCTTGCCGCACCTTTGTCCAAGCTGCCGGGACGGCTCGCACTTAACCACACGTTTCAACCAGTCATTGCTGCACCAGAATTTGGATCGTACAGGCAAGGGCGAGCACTTAAGGGTAGAATTAGGGGAGTTGGTCCGAAAACTCGTCGGTGCTCAAGGATTGCCCTCAACGTCCTTCCGGCTCAGCCACTACCAAAGCCCGAGCCGGACAAAGAAAGGGGCTAAGGGGTACGGAGTATGGACCTTGAGTTTGGTCAAAGAAAACAATGGTGGGCTTGCGGCCCTGGCTAGACGGCGCCCAGCGAGCCACGGCAATGACATGACCTTGCCATGGATAGATGCCGTCAAGCCCTCAGCTGCTCCACCCCACTCGCAGCAAACCCGCAGCAACGTCTCCAACTCTCACGCGTTGGCGAGCCGTAACGACCTTATTACCTCAAGATTGAGTCGGGTCCAAAGGCCGCAGTTGTGCATGATCAAGACATTCAACTGTCATATTGGTACGAGATCTCTCCGGATTCCGAGCGGCACATCACCCACCAACTTGAAGGCGCATATGTACGCCGTAAATCATCCGGTACCTGCCAAAGAAGTCAACAGAAAGCCGGCTATAGGCCCGATAAGCGAGAAAAGGCACCA